TAAATTAAAAATGGATGAACAAGGGAGATTCTAGATCTTAGCAATACATCTCATAAATTTGATAAACTCTTATTTTAATTTTTTGTGCGTGATAAATTAAATATAGATTTATTAGAAACTATTATTGCTATTTGATTAAGGGTATTATTAACTTTAACTTGATCAAACACGTAGTTCTCGTGGGTTCGACACTTTACACACTCTATATTACTTGATTACGATCCCGTTCACTTGCGAGAAATCAAACGATCACTGACAACCAGCAATAGCCTTTGGCCCTTTGCCAAGTGGGAAATTGACTTTGCAGGATCACTAAAGAAAATATCCAATATGAGATTTTTCATAGTGGATGTGGATTATTTTACTAAGTCCGTAGAAGCCAAGCCCTTTGTGAAATTACCGAGGTTAACACTTGCAAGTTCGTATGGAAACAAAAAAATTATATGTTGATTCGGAGTAACCAACTCCATAATTTCAGATAATGGAAGATCCAATATGAGATTTATGGTGGTGGATGTGGATTATTTTACCAAGTGGATAAAAGTCAAGCCCCTTGTGAAATTACCAAGGTTAACACTTACAAGTTCATATGGAAAAATATTATATGCCGATTCAAAGTAACCAACTTCGGATAATGAAACACAATTTCAGAGAAGAAGCTAAAATTAATATGTGATAAGTTGGGTATTTGCAGACATTTCTCCGCTCCATGTTATCATCAAGTTAGAGTAAATAGTTGTCAATACAACACTAACAAACAACCAAACAAGAAAGCTCGATTTGGCGAAGGGATTATATGTCGGCGAATTATCACATATCCTATGGGATTTTTGTGTTGAAGAAGATGAAAAATTAACGAGTCGGTAGTTTGTGTTGGAGAAACCAAAGAAAGAAATAGACATTAGTTTTGAAATTTTAATTGAGAAGTTTTTTTATTTAATAATTGAAAGGATATAAATATCCTTTTATATTACCATAATTTAATAATTCATATGCTTTAAGTAAGGTATTTCTATCTTTTGCCTTTAAAGATGCAATTCTGCAAATTGGGCATTACTGATATATAATATGCATTTTGATTCTAACGCATAATTCTCATTCCGCGTTTCTTCTCCGCCATGACTTTTGCAACCGTAAGAAATACTCTAGGTGACCTCAGCAAAGATTCCTTCATAAAGTATCCAGGCTGGCTATTAATAAAGGGGCACGTTGACAAGTGAATAAATCGTGACTTTTAACCCAATCAATTAGAAGATATCCAGTATGGAATCGTCATCCGTCATTTTCGCGAAAGGACCAAATTACTCCAAAATGAGATATTTGAAGTAGACATACAATTCAAAAATCTCTCTTCTAAATAGTTATTTTACTTATTGCTCAAGTTTGAGCATTTAAACTAATGAGTTTAGGAAGTGAAAATTGTAATTGGGTAAATAGGATTTGTTGATCCAATTTTTGTATCATCAACATTTAATGAATATTAAGCACCCATTTGGCCCCCATGATTCCGAATTATAATGAGAGAAATAATAATTTTTCGGAGAAAATGTGGATAAAAAATACGTTTTTGAGTTTATGTGTAATATGATTTTATTGAAGAATATATGGTTGATAAGAAGAGAGAGAAAAATGAATTAATAATTTAATGAGAAATAATGGGAGCCAAATTCGGTTCGGTTCCCGAGTTTCATATAATAATTATTTTTTTTAATATTTACAATGCTACATTAATTTAACTAATGATATGTTCAATTTTAACTTTTACAAAATAACGTAGTTCAATTCCGTAATATCTTTTGCACTTCTCTTTGTAAAGTTTTTCATAATTTGGTTGTCATAATCATGAGAAGAGGAAGTTAGTGAGCTCACAATAATGAAGAAAGTGACAGTCAAGCTTTCAATTCGATTTTTCCATAACAACACTAGGTAAAAAAAGATTTTAGTAAAATTTAGAACCGAAAACAGAATCGAACATTTCGGTCTCCATTTGAGTACCCGTTCGAGTATTTAATTTTAGAAGATTCGCTCGACTTGATTGGATTCGATTCGAGTTTGGGTTCGATCGGTTCGGTTATAGAGTTTTGTCCCACGCCAAGTATATATTTTGATTTAAGGCATAATTCTCATTCTGCATTTCCTCGCCATGGCTTCTGCAAGCGTAAGATATACTCTGGGTGACCTCAACAAAGATTCATTCGTAAACCTTTTGTCAAAGCTGATCGGAGAGTCCAAATACGTTCAAAATAATCCGCCGGAGCTTATTCCGGAGGAGGACAGGATCGTGAGGCACGTGCTGGACGCGCTCCTCCCCTACAGCACCATCACCGGCGGCGGCCCACTTGTCATTAACCATGTTACCTACAAGCCCAATAGAGGGAATCTCATTGTAGAGTACCCTGGATCTCAGCCGGGAAAAATCTTGTCATTTGTTGGCATGCATATGGATGTTGTAACTGCCAACCCTTCTGATTGGGTATGTTAAATTGTACTCCTTGTGCTCAATGATTACTATATTCTGCTACTAAGTGCGCATATCAATGGCGATTAGTGAAATTAACTCCAAGGGAAATAATGAACTGTAATTGATGATTATGTAGCTCAACCATAGAATGCTTATCTTGAAAAGTTTATAAATGTAGGTTAACTTTCATGTTTATGAACTCTGTGTTTTTGTGTATATGCAGGATTGTTTTGTTTCTATCAGTTTTTGTTTTTGTTTAGGTTTCATGTGAATTGGTTGTTGAATTTGTGGTTCCTAATATGTTTTGGTCCTGTCTGATTTCTCTTGAGTTTTGGTGTTGATTTTACATGGGCAATTTAGTACGAACAGCTTGCTTTTGTTTTCAATAAGTTCTCTGAGTTCTTCTGTTGGCAGTCACTGGTTTTTTTACAATTGTCTTATTTGAATTTATTTTGCTTTTGGCTTTATGTTACTTATTAGCGAAGCTAAATTCAGTATTTATCAAAATCATTTAGCATTTAGTAAAATCTAACTGATATAAAGTTTTGTCATTTCTCCATAAATTTAATTATGGAATATGTTGTGATGATCTCATACTGTGATCTAGGATCTGGATGAAGTAAAAAGTATATCATTAAATATTAATGGCCGGTCATGTCTTTTATTGAAGATAGATTTACCATGATGTCAGATTTTCCTTTAATACGAGAATACAAATATTAGATAAAAGTAGCTTTTGACCGATTTCCATCAATGTAATTTGTTTTGTTGAAGACTGAAGAGCAATTAAGGTTCAATGCAAATCAAGTGGAATAAGTAATAATGATGTGGAATCTTCAGTCCTATGGATGTTAATGAATAGGCGGATCTTTCCTCTGATATTTTATTAAGAAATTTATGCATCATCAGATGGATTTTCATGCAGGATTTTGATCCTTTTACGATGAGCATTGATGGAGACAAACTTCGAGGTCGTGGAACCACGGATTGTTTAGGGCATGTTGCTCTTGTAGCTGAACTAATGAAGAAGTTGGGGGAGACGAAGCCACAACTGAAGTCTACCGTGGTTGCTGTCTTTATTGCCAGTGAAGAGAACTCGTCTATCCCTGGAGTTGGCGTTGATAAATTAGCAAAGGATGGATTGCTTGATAAGTTAAAGCATGGCCCTCTGTAAGTTACTATACCTTTGGCAGATTAGAAGTTACCCAGAAGTTGAGTGTCTTTAATAAGTGTTTTGGACAATATTTATGATATGATTAACGGTCTTCTCATCCTGCAGATTTTGGATTGACACAGCAGATAAACAACCATGCATTGGTACCGGTGGTATGATACCATGGAAACTTCATGTTTCTGGGAAGCTTTTCCACAGCGGTCTAGCCCACAAGGTACTTACAGAAATAGTGCTTTCTCAGGGATATTTATCTACCTTTTGGTACTGATTCTGCTTCTTCCATTAGTTTCTCGATATTGAGGTGAACAACCGCAACATAGCATATTATTGGGATTGTTTCTACATATGATTTCGATACAACTGAGATGAGAAAATGTTCCTGTGTGAATATATTGTCTAGTCATCAGAATTTGTACATGTATTTACTCTGAATCAAAATGAAATCTAGAACTTAGTTTTGTGAACATTCATTCAATCCACTTCTTTCTCATTAAAAGGTAAAGCAAGCTCCATCTCGTCTTTGATTGCCTAAAGACGTTGACATCCCTAGGGATTTTTTATGAAGAACCAGAAGAGTGGCAGCTAGAGGAGATCCAACGCGATCGAAGGGGTGAAGAGAAGTAGTTCTTCCTCCAATTAAGACCATACTTAAGAGTAGAAGGGGATATGATCTTCGAGAATCTATTGATTGCCTTCAGTGTTTTAGAGCTTAATCAGCTTCTGTGAAGTCTAGATCTAGAATTCATATAAAGAGGACCGAGATCATGAAGAGAAAAACAAGAGAAGGGAAAAAGATGATTCACAATAGCATACAATTGATTCCTCTGCTCTGCCATCAGAATAAGATGAAGTCTTTGCAATCAAGAAACTTGTGGCCCTAGTTTTATTGTTAAAATTGACTGTTAGTAGCTAGGATTGTCAATGGATTAGACTTTGATCTGAAACCGATTCGAATTCGATAAAATTACTGGAAGATGGATTTAGAGTTTCAGTTTGATAACTTGATTAAGATCCGAATTCGATAATTCGTTAACTAAGTCGAGCAAACATATATATTAGATAATCCGATCATATAACAACACAATCCGATAACAACCCGATGCGATTTGTTATAAATAGTTGAGTCGGTTGAAATATTTTTATGGCATGTCATTTGTCACTAAAATAAATAAATGTGAAAATAAAAAAATTTAGAATAAAAAAATCGTCAAATTCAAAACATAAAAAAAACAAATAAGAAAGTCAATCTATGAATGCACATTGTTTTAAGAAGTGTAATGTGTTGCGAGGCATGAAGGTTTCGGGTTAGGCGAGTCTAGACAAAGCTTAGGTGTAAAAAAATTTGAAAATGTATTTTCTTGTTTTAATATTATTTGAAATTTTTAATCAATCTAAAAACTATTTAATAATACATACAAATTATAGTATCAAATGCTATATTAAGAGCTTGACAAAATAAATATATTAAATAAACAAGATACAAGTATAATAATGTTAATTGAAATATTTGGAAAGTTTCAATTTTTTATTAATTAGTAAAAGATAGGAAAAACGATTAATTTAATAAATCATACATAACTATTTATATAATAATACAATACACTACAATCAAACCAAATGTACAATAAATTATAGCCAAACCAAAAGTACAATTTATTATAGCTAGCCGTGTCAACGAGCCGAACCATGAGCTGAAACTGAAAGGATCGAGCTTTTTTTGGCCTGAGCTGAGCCGAGCAAAAGCTTGGCCAAAAAATTGAGGCTGGAGCTTTAGCGGGCCAGCCAACTCAATTTTTTTTTTTTTTTTTGGTTTGTTGGTTTCTTTCTTCTCAGTAGGCAGCTTGTCAAAGCTACCGCTGCAGTGTCTTTTAATTTTTTTTTTTTTTTGTTTCTTCTCAACTGCCTGCAACGTGCAGGAAGTTGTAGTGTCTTTTTTAATTTTTTTTTGAAGGCTCGAGCCACACGGGCCGGCTAGGACTCGAGCCTTTGCCCTAAAATGGGGCTCGGCTCCAACCTCGACTCGATGGTTCCAAGCCACGAGCTGGCTCAGCTCGAGCTTTTTCGAGCCGAGTCACGAGCTGTCCGAGCTGACAGCCATTTTGCCATCCCTAATTATAGCCAAATCAAATGAATTCTTATCCCACATCGAAAGTTTATAACAAAATTATTGGAGATGTCCTCTATAAATAAGTGAGTTAATAAATTGGTAAGCAATTTTTTGTGTCTATCAATCCAATTGGCTAAAAGTTTTAAAAAAAAATGAAAAATTAATAATTATTAAAACCGTTTAAGAATGGGAAAAATTGGGCAAAAAAAAAAAGTTAATTCGAACATTGATTTTTTTCCTAATTTCTTTAATTTCGGATCGGATTATCAAATCGATATTCGATAACATAGCAAATCGGATATGTGTTTAACAATTAAACTTCAAATCAGTTCATATATCTCTAACTTAAACAAAATCATAATATCTTTCACTTAATAATGAATATAACTTGATTCTAACAACTTATGATCTGGATTTTATTAGACAAATAAAACTGAGTAAGGTGGCAAAGAGTTCACGATGAACAGCACAATAAAAGACTTCTACTTTCATTCCCAATGTTTCGAGTTTGGCATCTTTATTGGTCATCTCTTAATCATGCTCTTGCATTCCCCTGCCCTGTCATATTTCATGATGGTATGTTTGTCCATTAAAGTTCTTGCTAGAGACTTATCTGCTGAGCAAAATCTTTTCTCAACATTAGTTAAAAAGGTCTATTTCAATTCCCTTAGCCGTGTCATATTTCATGATGGTATCCTCTGTATTAGGGAGAGAGCGTGTGATATTTCCAGCTATGGTCATCCTCATGAACATGAGACTCAACCCATTGGACCTCTCCCAAGTTTTGAAAAAGTCTATTTCATCTTTACTGCTATTTTCGGTATGATCATCTGGTTTTGTAGTCAAAAGGGACAAATTTAGGTCAAGGACTCCTAGGGTGGATTTGACTCTCTCTAACTATTCTGAGAAGTTATTCCCATTCAACTCAGGGACATATGGAGTTTGTGAATGCAATGAAACTGGTACACTTACTGCAAAGAATTTCAATCAATCAATCACATTAATGCTTTTAATTAGACACTCATAAAACAATAATCGGAATTTAAATCATAATGGATGAACTAACATATCATTAAGATCTATCCTTTGGGAGGATCATAATATACAAGTGCTCCCTCCGATATTTAAATTCTGTCGATGAACTAGTAGTATCATCAAAATTCCGCCTTTGAACATGAAATTTTGCCATACAAATTGTTCACTTTAGCAATAGCTATTAATTATGTAATGAAATATGTGCCATCTAAAATCAGTTAAAATTTTGCACCTTTGGGCAAACAAAGTTTCACTTAACTTTGGTACAAATAAGTTATCTCAAACAATTAACTGCACAATCAATAAACGAAATTCATCATGCAATTGGGAATTTTAGGCAATAACAGGCATAATATAATCTGGCAACAATTAAAAAAGAAAATAATATTTACACAGCAAAAGGGCTTACAAATCTTATGGTCAACCAATACAACTTAAGCCCAAACTTTTCTTTTCAAAAGTGACACATGCAGGCCAAAGTTTTTTGTATCCATATCTAATGCTAAATACCAATAACATCCCTTCATTCAACAATATCAAACCTCTAAACACGACTAGGGTTTTAATACATTCCTCTTTTTTTTTTTTTTTTGGCCGCTACTAATAAAAATTGTCAATTTTCTTCCATGCTTTTCACATTTAAATAAGTGAAAATATGTTGGTTATCTATAACCAATTAATCAAATATTTAATCCCATTTGTCATGTTTCACGATTTTTCAAGAGCCTGTCTGCCCCACTTTTAAAGCTGAATTTTAATCTATAAATTGACCGTTGAGCCGCAATTTTGGACCATGCATCTCACAGGTAGGGCCAACGTACAGGAAAATAATGGGTGGAATTTGGCTTATAATTCTCTCCAGACAAGCACTAAATGAATAATGTTTGATTTTTGAACTATTTATGGCCTTAGATTCTTTTTTGGCGGTGAATAAGTATTGTTTTTATCGAGACTTTTTAAAAAATGGGGTGGATTATGATTTCACAATTTCCCCTTTGATTTCAATGCTTTATTTCAATATTATTACGATTAATTTTTGCAATTATTGTTACTGCAAATTTGTAATGAAGGAACAATCTTCACCAAATTTGGCTGAATTTTGAATACAACCTTTGTAATGAAGAATTCAAAATTCTTGGTTGTATCCAAAATTCAGCCAAAATTTGTAAAGATTGTTCCTAGGACCTAGGATGCAATTTTGGCTGAATTTTGAATACAACCAAGAAGGCGGTGGCGGTGGAGGTTCTTCAAAATGCAGTAGCAGCTGGGTATTGTTACCATGTTCAGCATGTTGCGACAGAACCTTCGTGACTCATCGTTGTGGTTGAAAAGGTGGTGGTGACACCACCAGCGTGTAGTTGTTGTGGGTATCGACGCATCACTCTCACAAGAGGTGGCGACAATAGGGCCCATAATGCCACAAGACTTCACGATTTTTTTGCTGGTTTCGGTCGGTTCCTCTTTTCACTGGCATTGTGACAACGTGGAGCGGCTAGGGTTTTGGCAAGATGATGGTATCGCGTTTCTGGGCCAAGTGACACGTTTTTTGGGCCATGTTGTGAGTCTCTAAAAATGTGGGCTGAAACCATTGGACGAGCTATTGCTATTTGGGCCATTTCTTCTCGAAGGCTGAAGGCAACTGTTTTGGGCCATTGTAATTACGCCAATGGAAAATTCATAAATAAGGTGTATACTTTACACAAATTCAAAAATCAGGTTCATAGTTTGAAAATTCAAAAATCAGGTTTTTTTTAATTTATGAAATAATAAATTATTAAATCAATTTATTATTAAATATTTAATTCTAATACAATATAATTAATTTATCCCACATGCACTACCCATACTGCTCCGGGAACTATTCCGGCTACCATTCCGACCACCACTCTTCTCCGACGATCGTTCCGGCGACTGCTCCGATTCCAACAATTATTCCAGCGACTGTTCTGGTGACCATTCTGGTTACAGATTTACAATTTACGGTCACAGTTCAAAAATTTTATAGGTCACAATTAATTCGTTGGTCACAGATTTCAAAATTAGTTGGCTACAAATCAAAATTTATAGGTCACACAGTCACATATTTCCAAATTAATGGGTCACAGATTATATAATTTTTGGGTCACAGATAAAAAATGGTTTATTTCATTGGTCACATATTTTCAAATTTGTTGGTCACAGAATATTTTTCAGTTGCATATTGTCAAATTTTTAGCTCACAGTTAAATACTTGGTCACAGATAACCAAATACTTGGTCACATACCATTGGCACTACCACTTCAGTCACTTTTGACCACCCTCACCCCGCCGCCGCCATCACCACCACGGCCACCAACATCACAGTGGTCGACCAGCACTGCAAACATCACCACCACCACCTCAACACCGTAACCATCCAACTACAAACAATGTCACAACTTGCAAACCACTACCAATTACCCTAAAAAATCCAGATTTTCACCACCAGCATAACATCACCACCATCTTACCGCCAATGCCCAAAACATTCTACAACAGATATGAGGGGAGAAACACAGGTCACCGCCACTGCAACGACCATTATAGCTCTTAGAACAACGCAGAGTCATCCAAAACATATCAGATGGAAGAACCACTACATCCACGTCACCTCCGTCCCCCAAAACAACATCCATATTACCGTTGCTACAACCAGTCACCACACCATTGAGTCACAGTCCACCTCACTGCAACACAATCGACACCCACCCACACACAAAAAAAAAAAACAAACAAAATACAACCACTGCCTCATGCACAAAATACCCACTCGGCATCACCAAATATCAAATCCCGATTCCAACCACTCTACCAAACCAATCGATAGCCACACTCAACCAACAACCCCAAACTTGTCGTCCGACAGTGACCCAGAAATTTCACCGGCTGCGTCTAATTGACGACCCATGAAATTGACTCAACTCACCGGCGACACCTAACTCGCCAGGTCTTTGCAGTACCCAAAGGAGACGAACAGTACCCACAGGGAGACGAGGAGCAGACGAAGTCGACACCAGCCTCCCTATTTGGGCCTCAAGTCACGACGCTGTTTGTTCGTGTAGCAGCGTCGCGATGCTGCCGCGAACTACAGCAGCATCACGACAACGCCGCAGCATCGTGAAGCTGCTGCACTCGGCAGCGTCGCGACGCCATTTGCTGCAGTGGGAGGGTGACGCCGGGCAGAATAGTGATTATTCTGCAGGCTAGAACCAATTGACAAATACAGAGAAGAACGCGAGAGAAACACCAAGAAAAAAAGATCATCAAATCAAGGAGCTTTCTTTCAATAGCGAACAAGCCTTAATCTCTTTCATTACGAGATTGGAATTGAATCAAGATGATTGATCCTCTTGCCATTGATCGGGTGAGATCTTACCCATAACATAAACAAAGAGAAAATCACGAAATGATTAATGATGTGATGCTCGAATCTCCTAGGCAAGTGCTTGGCCAGAATTCTTTTGAATGGTGGATTGGCCTTTCAAGTTTGGATTAACCTATTGTTTATAATGCTTTTCAAATCTTCTTCAAATGTCATTTGTGAAATCACCCCCACTCGATAAAAATCGTCTCCAACTAGTAGTCAACCTTGTATTTCTTGTAAAAGTCATGATCTACTGCTGTAATTCTTCATCGTATTCTTCCACTTACAAAATTTGAATCCCCTCGCTTGGGTTGAGACAATAGTTGTTTAATAATGCCTCCAATCTTGAAAATTTGAAGATGGAAGAAGATAGGATATAGTAATACCATCCAATGAAGAATTTATCAGATGTTAGATATGTAGTAACCATCTAATGAAGATTTTATCTGTCCTTGATATACTGTGAGATACTTATTCTATGTTTGTGTCATGTTTATAAATTGTTTCGAATTATCCAAGCCAATTTTTATCCATACAGTTCAAAGAACCCACAAGTATTATTCACTTTTTTGCCACTTATTTCTATCTACTTATATTTAACAATCTTGCTACATGTACAATATCATTTGTATTATTTTTTGGACAGTTTAAATATTTAAACAATTTTCCCTCCAATCATTTCTTAACAACATATCAAATGTCAAACATGCTTTTAATGTTGAATACATTATTGATCCTCATGATCTCAGTTCATTTGGCAAGAATTGAATTTTATTGAATTGAGAATTATTTGGAATTCAATTTACGAGCATTTGCATTCTCAAGCTATCTTTTATTATTATTTGTTTTTTACCATGTGAACCATTTTAAAATTGTAGTGCACAAGATTTTTTATCCATGTATATATTCTATAAATTCAGTGTTTGATATTCGATACATACCTAATATGTAATGTATATTTGTGTATAGATTGAATGAAGAACAAATAGAAATTAAAAGGAATTACAGTAGATTGTGAGTGAAGAGAAACAGGTTTAGCACAACTGATTCTTCTTCCCCTCTGATTTCATTATATAGAAAAAATAGAGTACACGTTTGATAACTTGGTACAAGAACGGAAACATAATAAACTCTAGTTATACTCTTGCCTAATTGACGTGATTTACTTTCTTAACACCCTCCTTCAAGTTGGAGCATATATATCATATAAGCCCAGCTTGGAGCACAGACACTTCAACCTATTACCATTCAATGATTTTGTACACCTATCAGCAAGTTGGTCTCCTGTCTTCACGAATGGTGTACATATATCACCACTCACTATTTTGTCTCGGACAAAATGACAATCAATTTCGATATGNACTGGATTGGATGCAATATGTAGAGCAGCCTGGTTATCACAAAACATTGGAATCGGAGTGGAAGATGAAAGATTGATTTCTTGAAGAAAGTGCTGCAACCACGTCAACTCACTAGTTGTATGAGCCATTGCCCTATATTCTGCTTCTGCACTTGACCTTGCTACTACAGTTTGTTTCTTACTTTTCCAAGAAACAAGGTTACCACCAAGAGAAGTACACAAACCAGTAGTGGATCGTCTATCTGACGGGCATCCTGCCCAATCTGCATCTGTAAACCCTTCTATTCTGATATGTCCATTTGATTTGTACAATAACCCAAGGCCTGGAGCCTTTTTCAAGTATCGAATAATACGTATCACAGCTTCCTACACTAACTGCATAGGAAATGTCTGGTCGTGAATCAACCACTCGATCTCTAGGGCGAAGGCTACACATGACGCAGATTACAAAGCAAAGACCTTAATTGACAACCCCAAAGATCCCAGCCATGAAGTCTGGAACAGCAGAGAGAAAACTTGAAGAAGAAAAGAAAAAAAAAAAGCAAAAAAAAAAAATAAAATTGATTACACGAGAAGAATTGGCAACAGGAAATAACAAACCCTAGAATCCTTGCTCTGATACTATGAAGAGAAACTGGTTTGGCACAACTGAGAGAAGAAGTTAAGTTTCTTTCTCCCCTCTGATTTCATTGTATAGAAAAAATAGAGTACACGTTTGGTAACTTGGTACAAGAATGGAAACATAATGAACTCTAGTTATACTGTTGCCTAATTGGCGTGATTACTTCCTTAACAGTGAGCATTCAAGAGGCTTACTTTGTCATCCATTGATACCTTAATTTCTGTCTACCTTACATTATGCCCTTTTATACTTCGCAGTTACATACTTATTCTCCAAATTTCCTATACTATCCGTCCTCGTATTAGCAGATGCTAATCAAAATTTCATTTGAAAAAAGCAAATAGTCATATAAATTTTTAATTATCTAGAATTTCCAATTTCCATCCCAATTCCCTCTCAATGAATTGACCCTTGTCAAATTTTCTTGCTTATGGTTCGCAAACGAGTTGTAGGGACCAGTCCTTGCAGTAGAACTTATAACCTTCCTATATTGTGTCCGAAGAAAAGCAACTAGTTGAGTTACCTACTTACCTAAATAAGAGAAAACATGGGATTTTACATCAAATTCAAATAACTCAATTTCTATTTGAAGTGGGTGGTTATTATTTTTTCCGTTAACCTTTCTTGGGATGTCAAGGATTGGCTAGTGGATTACGATTCTACCAACGCCTTGGTTGCTTCAACTTGAAGTCCTGTAGAGAGGGAACAGTGTGGGAGAGGAGAGGAGAGGGTTGCCTCGAATTCTATGGCCTATTGAACTCAAAAATTCGCATATGAAAAAAGAACTATAGCTCTACTAAGTGAGGAGATGTTCTTTGGCAGATTATTTAATATTGAAGACTTTTGTTTTATGCTGAACTATATCATTATCAAGTTTTGGCTGTAGGTTAATATAGAATATTTTAAAGTTGAGATAAATATTTTTGTGCACAGAAAAAAAATATCTTTTGCACTAACTAGAAAAAATGTTATTTGTTCCTTAACACGGAGCTAATAACTAAACAATTCTTGCCTCGTGGAACAATGTTGATATTTTGATTCTAAATTAAAATAATGCTGGATTTTTCTAAGTTGATTAAAAAAAAAGGAAAAGGATCACAGTGGTACTAATTAAGTTGAATATGCTATGTTGAACTTCATTGAGAAAACTTCTGCATTTGCATTGTTATTGTTATTCAGCTTTTAACTAATTTTCTTTCATTTTTGTGTGCAGGCCATTAACTCCTTGGAGCTAGCTATGGAAGCTCTTAAAGAGATCCAATTACGGTTCTACAGAGACTTCCCTCCCCATTCAAGAGAAAAAGTTTATGGGTTTGCAACACCGTCGACCATGAAACCCACACAGTGGAGTTGTAAGTTCTTGATCTTAAAGTGAAAAATTGTTTAATCGTGATTTGTTTGCTTACAGGCACACTATTCATTGCCTAAATTGATATTTATAACAGATCCTGGGGGTGGAATCAATCAAATTCCAGCTGAATGTACAGTTTCAGGGGATGTTAGGTTGAATTTTTGCTTAGACAATCATTTGAGTACCTGCTTTACAATTGATTTCTAACTTGCACTCTTTAACGCAGGTTAACTCCATTTTACAGGTATGGATTTCACTCTGTAGTGGGTTATGTCTCCATAAGTTTCGCTTTTAGTCATGCATAATGTTATCTGGTTAACTCATTTTACATTATTTTTCCATTTTCTTCTCGAGGAGTTTTCTGTACTACATTTTTCTAATCTGGTAAAAGTTTCAGTCAGTTCCTGCAAGGCAAGAAATCAAGGTCTGAAACATAATAAATACATTACTTCAGTGTAACAGATGTGATGACTAAGCTTCAAAACTACGTTGACGACATGAATGCCAACATAGAAAAGCTTGATACACGAGGCCCTGTTTCAAAGTATTTCCTACCAGATGAGAACCTCAGGGGAAGGTGCGTCTTTATCTTCTTTATCTAATTGTATTCTAATGACTCAACTTACTAAATGCCCTTCATTCTTGGAAATCTGAGGAAGGACATTGTGACGTAGTCCAACTTTATTCCACAGCTCAAAATTCATTTTTTCTTATTGATTCTGCTCATGTGCGCTTACGTTTGTTGACCTCATTTTTATCTGTCATCCTTCAGAATTACTATTAGTTTTGACGAGGCAATGTCTGGAGTTGCTTGTAATCTTGATTCATGCGGATTCCATGTATTATGCAAAGCTACTGAAGAGGTAGTTGGGCATGTAAAACCCTATTCTATCACTGGCAGCTTGCCACTCATACGGGAACTGCAGGTGGAGTTCTTCTCTTGGATGAATTCGTCTGGATTTTTGGAAATAGAAATTTTCATACATATGTTGCCTTTTTGTTTTGTGGTAGGAGGAGGGTTTCGATGTTCAAACTTCTGGCTATGGTATGGGTCACTTGTTACTTCATCTTCCTTTTTTTAATACTACTATTAAACTCACGCTATTTCACCTTAGGGAAATCCATTTTGCTTCATCTATCAAATCCAATGTTTTGCTTGTAGGAGGTATTTGAAAGTGCTAACTTGCTTAAGTATACTGTGATATTTATGTAATTACCTTAAGTTCAAATCTAGTATTGTCTCGACTGCAATCCCTAAAGTTCAGGTGATAGCAACACCAATTAATGATCGCCATGTGATAAAGAAAAAAAAGTTAATATCACATAGCTGAAGGCAGGAGCTAAATGACAAGCTATAGAAGGTTGTATGCCATAAATTAAACCAGCTGGTAAAAATAAATTAGATTTGTTTGCCATTATTAGTTTTCACACAAAAATCATGGCTTACAATTTATTTGTGAATTCATTGACTAGGACTTTCATGAAAAAGGAAAATATCTTTACCCTCCAGTATTATCAGAAAAACTTGGTGAATCCTTTTCCATAACTCTTTTCAGTTTTTCATAGATGGTGTTGAAATAAGAAGAGTTCTCCTCTTTCATGATTTTTGCATGCAAATATGTTAGATATTCAAATACGTGTATAAGAACAGAGTTACAGAAGTATTAGAAACCAAGAACTGGCCAGCTGATTTAGGAATCAATTAACTTGGTAATGCTTGTAGTTTCAAATTTAATGAGAGGTGGTATAGGGAAGTGAGAGTTGGCCCTGTTCTGCATCCCATTGGATCTAGAAAATATCAAATCGGTAAGAGTAATGTTATTCATCCCCAGTGGGGATGAAAACACAGTCTATGTGACGCTAATGTGGCATTAAATGATAGGTTAAATTAAATAAGTAATTTAATTTCACCTTTCATTTAACCTATCATTTAATGCCACATAGACTGTGTTTTCATCCCCAGTGGGGATGAATAGCATTACTCAATCGGTAATGGTTTTAGGTTTTTGTCTCAAGAAGGGGAGAGTTGGCCTGTTCAGCCCACTTAACTCAAGAAAATGTCAATTTTTAAACTTCCATAAATACTATCTTACTTCATCTTTGGAATCAATAAATATATGCACATGAGAAAAAATTATGCTCGAGGGGCTAAACTAGTATGCTGGCAACTCTTGGGAGAATAACGTGTTTACCCTTGTGAAAACATGGACCATGATGTCCTACATGTTCTTTCCTTAATGGATCTTCACCCCCCAAGAACAAAGAATTAAAGTTCTAGTTACTCTTACTTTGGAAAGCATTTTTCCTATCATTTGGTGCAGTTTTTGGTCATTGTTGTGGTCATAGGTTGATACTAATACCTGTGATTGTTTCCAAGCCCCAGAAATATAGGGGCTTATACATAATTATCCATAAAGCATTTTACAAGTCGTGGACAAATGTTCGACTTATGGATTATGAATTATATCTTGTGTGCATAAACTGTTTATTTGCATTACGGAATGCAAAAGTAACTCACATTTTTTTTTGGATCAGAGAATGTCTTACGTCATCGAAATATCTTAGCCTTATGGCATAATTACTAACAGTGAGTAAGCTGGTAATAAGTCTGATAATATCTTCATCATCATTTGTTTCTTTCGAGAGGTAATTTTCAGGGTAGTTGTGGATCAGTAACTAAAATCTCTATTTGGGTGAAAATTTAATGGGATTTTTCCAATATTGAGATAGCAAAGCTCACTACGAATTGCTATTGTCCCCTTGTCAAGGAGATTTTTGTAGGGCTAGAGCAAATGTGACAGTCGAGTCCTAAAACTTGGGGGCCATAAAAAGATAATATTTAAAAGAAAATTTAATTAAAATTTATTTCATAAATTAAGAAAGTCAACTTTAAAAAAAAAAAAAAAAAACTTGTTCATGATACTTAAAAATTTCAATTTTCGAAAAGAAAGCTCAAATAAACTTCAAATTTATTTCCACCACCACGGCTAGGTCCAAGCTTCAATCTTCCCAATGCTTAGTTACCTGAAAGGGGGAAAACTTGAGGGTAAGAAAATCTTAATAAGCATACGCGTGTTCATAAATTTCTAATTTTATAACTTTTGGAATTGTAGAACTTGCATAAAGGGGACATGAAAACTACACCGAACTTAGTTATATGAGTTTTATGCACGTAGCGCTACTAGAACTCCAGTTTGAAACTTAAAACATACATATGGACTTATAAACATATTTTTCAAAGTTCAGCATAACAGCACGTATATACTTAGGGTTTAGGGTATATACTTACTGTTATGTCGAGGAAAATAAAGGGAATCGAAGAAATTGGCTTGGTTGAAATCCACTCCAAAGTTTCTTGAACAGTGCGAATTCTAAAGATTTTGTAATGTGAAATATGTGTGTGAAGAGAAGGAAGTGGGGTGCAAATTTATTGAAAATAATGCATCTATTTATAATATTCTAATGATACATGGGACAGGTCTAATAATTTATTCAAATAAATTTGAATACTTAAAGATCATAATATCGAATAGAATTTGTGATAATGTTGAACTTAAATATAATCATAATAACCAAATAGAGGCTGTCTGGGAGCACTTAATTCAGCCCAAAAAATTGCTTTGTGTACCGTTGAAAATGAAGACAAGCAGCCATTGTTGACTTATTGTGTCACCAAAAATTTGCTTTGTGTACCGTTGAAAATGATGACAAGCAGCCATTGTTGACTTAATGTGTCACAGGTGGGGCCCAGCTTTAGTTGTTAACGGTAGGAAAATCAATTTTCTTGACAATTTAATCCCCCCATACACAGCCATAATTTGTGATAATGTTGAATATTTAAAAAAAATTATCATAATATCCAACAAAATTTATTTATTTAACTTTATCACAAAATCTAGAGATTCTATCACTCCGGGATTCAAATATTTGCACTTTAATCCTTAAAATATTAGCCAATAATCAATTAAGTCCTTAAACTATCATGTCCACATGGTAAGGTCCTAAATTCTGATATAATGACTAATTTTGAGGTATGAAATGTCACAAGCTACCCCTCTAAAATAAATTTCGTCCTCGAAATTTACTACAACTTTCGTCCGCAAAATGTTGGTGATACTTGGATCGCATTTCCTCTTCGAGTTCCCCAGTGGTCCCTCTACTGAATAATGTTGCCATAACACTTTAACTAGTTGTATTTTTTACTATGGAACTTTTGTTCTTAGCTATGATACATATTGGAGCTTCTTCGTAATTCAAATTTAGTTGAATATCCAATAGTTGGTGTCTAACCACATGAGTTGGGTCAAGAACATATTTTCTAAGCATTAATACATGAAAGACATTGTGTATCTGCGAAAGCTCCGGTGGCAAAGCTAATTGATATGCAACATTTCCAATTCCCTTTAAAATTTCGAAATGACCAATGTACCTTGATTTGAGCTTATCCTTCATGCCAAAGCGTAACACTTCTTTCATCGGTACAACCTTGAGGAATACATTGTCACCTATTATAAACTCTAGATCTGTTCTTCTTCTGCATAACTCTTCTGTCTATCCTGAGCCATTTTCATACTGGCTTGAATTTTCTCAATGACCTGCACTGTTTGTCCAATGATATCTGGACCAAAATTTTTTCGCTCTCTGACCTCATCCCAATAAATTGGCGATCTACATGTCCTCCCATACAATGCCTCATATGGTGCCATGATAATAGTGGTGTGATAGTTGTATGCTAACTCAATCAAGGGTAACTGTTTCGCCCAATATCTCCTGAACTCAAGGATGCAGGTTCGAAGCATATCCTCATGTTTGAGTCGTTCGCTCAGACCATCCATCTGTTTGGGGATGAAAAGTCGTACTAAATTTTTGCTTAGTTCCCATGGCTCGGTGTAAACTTTTCCAGATATTCGATGTGAACCTTAGAAATCTATCTGATACGATTGAAATTGGGTGTTGTATATGTAGCTCATATAGACTGGAATACAAGTTTACTAGAAATTTTTCCTCAAGTGCATTTGATCTTTATCTTCTGTTTAATTGGAAGTCACTGCTACGTAACATGAAAGTGACAACTCTAGGTCCGTTTTCTTTATCAGGAATCATGTACAAGTATAAATATAGAAATTGAACTGAAAATGTCAAACACAAGAAGTTATAAGAAAAAAATTTCTTTCGCCGTGGACATATGGAAACTTAATAAGCTCGCATAAATATTACTTCTTTCAGTGTTGAATGATTACTGAACATTAAAGCCAACTGTTTTTAAATTTCAATTATGAGACAGATATGATGACATGTGCAGAAGCAAAGCAAAATAAAGTATGTGAATCAACCAGTCATTGTGTAGATTAAGGAGGACAAGTACTACTATATTTATAAGAGAATTTATTTTCTTATTTCTTCCCTTGAAGTCGTTAACATAATATGAACGAGGATTCAGGATTTGAAGTTTAATTTCCAAGTTTGATGTATTGAATCTTCAAACCAGGAAGACAAAGTTATCTTTTGTTGACCGTAAAAATGTTTTTATATGTTTTATTGTAGTTGACACCGTTTTCTCCTTTTTTGGAGCAAACTTGAAGTTGATTATTGATTAAATTGACTACAGTTATTTATTTGGACCTTCCTTTGGTACTGCAATGACATTGTTTGTAACAGTAGTTTTTGGATAATGTGAACTGATGATTTTTGTAAAACTTTATCGGTTCATTATATTCTCGTTATGCTTTTAAGCAGCGTGATTTGTCCCCTAAATGTGAGTTCCGACCAAGGTAAGAATTGCACCGACATTTACGTACAAATATGCCTTCACACATGTAAGTTTGAATATTGTTATTAATGATTTTTGGATAAAAATGCAGGGTTAATGGCGACTTACCACGCTAAGAATGAGTATTGCCTTCTATCTGATATGTGCCAAGGCTATGGGGTTTTTGCTAGTATCATTTCACAGTTAGAAGATTGATGCATTTTCTGCCCACTTTAGTTTCCTATTGAAATCTTGGGATTATTCTCTGACTTGGACTGAAGCTCCAAAGCTAAAATAAAAGTAAGTTGTTTTGTAAGAGGGTTTTGAAATAAAATGTAGTAAATTATGGTATCTATTTTCCCCAAGCCCAAGGATTTGGTTTGTTCTCATTTACTACTCTCCTCTTTATTTACTGTCTATTCGAAGTACCTCGACTTTTTTAGAACAGATCAAAGTCAAATAGCAGTGATTTGAAGCACTTGGATTTGAAACCGTGCAGTTTTGTATCCAAAACAAATGCGCTACCAAGCTGTGCCACATCCTTCCTAGTGAAAGACCCTAACCCTATTATATTAGTATATTATGTGTCCATTTGGCCCCAATAATTTCACATTATAATGAGAGAAATAGTAACTTTTTGGAGAATGTGTGAAAAAAATGAAAAGTTTTTGGGTTTATGTGTAATATTATTATATTGGAGAATGTGTGGTTGATAAAAAGAGAGAAAAATGAATTATAATTTAGTGAGGAATAATGGTGGTAAGACGGGGGCTATATATTAGTATATTAGGGTCTCTCACAATATGTAGGATGTGTTTGAGTCACATTATTTTGGAAGAATGTATTTTGGAATAGTAGATTGATGGAGAATATGTGATTGGAAAAAAAAAAGTTGTTGATGATGGAAAATATTATTTTATTGGAAAATGTGGTTGAAAATGAGTAGAATAATGAAAATGAAAATTTTAATGTGACTCAAACATGAGCCTAATTTGGATATGAAATATTTTTTTGTTAACAAAACTTTTATTCCAAATGAATCTTTGACATAGCAATTCAAATTAAAGATTACATCTCAATATTATCGGTAATATAATTATAGGAGTGCTTCTTTTAGGTTGCATCTCAAAACTAGTTCAAAATTATTGGAAACTTTAAACACACAAAATATAGTTTAAAGTGAAAATTGAAGTGCCACTGTGAAGATTTATATTTATGTTAAAATGAGTAAAAAACTAGTTAAGAAAGCAAGTTAATGATTAGAAATTACAAGAAATGTTTTGTTGGTACATCATACAGTTCTGTACAAAACTTTGATAATATTATGCGTAGGATGTTTCAACACAGGGATGAAATGGGGGTAGGGCATGGTGAGTCACGTGACCCACCAATTTTTTGATATATTCTTTTAATTATGAAAGTATCACAGAGCTTTGGTTATGCATCTTATCTACAGAGCTTTAGTTATGCATTTGTATTATGCTCTGCATCTGTATGACTATATTTGTATTATGCTCTCCCTTATTCCACAATAGATTAGCGTTGAAAGCTTGTGCTGGTTTGCTGGATATGAACAAAGGGAAGGAAGTTCATCGTATGATTTACAAAATAGGTTTTGAAATGAACATATATCTGTATATAATGGTTTGATTGATATTCATGGAAAGTAAGGGAACATATTATGTGCGCGTAAAATGTTTGATCGAATGCCTATGAAAGATGTTGCTTCATGGACATCAATGATTTTTGGGTGCAAATGTAGGTGATATTAATGAGTCGGTTGTTTTCTTTTTTTTGAAAGAACGAGGTGGGAATGTGTTACACCTCGTCGGACAAGGCTTCAGAAACTATATGACAACCGAACTTGAACCCACACTCTATGTCATTCTGCCCAAGAGGAAATTTGACCGAACCTCTATAAAGAGGTCGAATCCGTATGGAGAACCGAACCCTCATGACGGACAAGGTTAAAAGGGCTTAGCAAGAGATCTTTTATGCAATCCTTATGTGAAAATTCACTACTATCACTGTCCTATTCAGCCAATCAAGTCAAGTTTAAGTCATGTGTTAGACTTTTGGACAACAAAATGATGTTGGCATTAAATGCTCATGATTGATTGATATCTTTGAGAAAAGGCCTCAAGTGAATGGATGACATAATATGTCATCCCAAAGGTAATGAAAGTTTAGATTTTTAAGCTATAACTTTGCTCTCTTTATTATCAAGTATTCTCCCCAAAGCCGACCCCTTCTTTACGCAGGAGGCTCACATCTAAAGCACCTCCCACACTCAAATACTTACAACTACAACTGATTTGACACATCGGAGTGCGAGTGGCCAACTCCACCACCACCGAAGGAGGCCACTTGTGGATAACGATTTGTCCTAGTGTATATGAACCAAGCTTATGTAGACCTAGGAAGGTTTAGGACTTGTTGGCTACACTAGAGATATCAAAATCGAGGTCAACAGATTGGCGTCGTCGATAGGAAATCATACTATAACCATGAACATCTTTGTGGTAAAAGCTACCTGAAAAATGTTTCTTAACTACTTCCTTGAAGAAATGTTCCTGTTCTCGAGGAAAGAACAAGTGGAAGTGCTGAAGAAGTGATATTCGGAGTATTGTATAATATCTGATTTATTGATATACTATGAGTTCCAGTAATTATGGATCCCATGCAAGGGATGTTCGAGTGGTCTCTGAAGAAGAGTCTTCCGAACTAATGTTAACATCCGTCGACCCCATTAATAGCACCATCGAGGCAGTTGCACTACTGTACATCTTGCAAGAGATGTAGAAGAAATAACTGCAAATATGAGGAATATAGCCCAATAGAATACGACCATGTAGTAGCTACTTATGCAAATGTCCACCCAAAGTGGAACGGCTTGGCACAAGGCCTGGGTCATTACAAATAGTTTTTGCAAGGTTGAAGGCGTTTTGAGACACTTCACAATACCTGGAACTCCTTTACAGAATGGTGCGACAGAATGGTTGATAGAACTTTAATGGAAAATGTTTGTTGTATGCTTTCAAATTATAGGTTGCCTAAGACTTTTTGGGCTAAAACTGCTGCTACAGCTTATTTTCTGATTAAACGCTTACCCTCACTTGTCGTTGAGAAAAAGACACCAGAAGAGCTATGGTCTCGAAAACCTTTATGTTATTTTGATTTGAAAATTTATGGGTGTCCTACATATGCTCATGTGGATAATGGGACGTTTGAGCCTATGTCTAGAACGTGTATTTTTCTCGAGTATAAATCAGGTGTGAATGGGTATTAATTATAGTGTCCTGAGATAAGAAAGGTGCTGGTTAATAGAAATGTGGTATTTGATGAACTTGCTGTGATTCATGGTTTACCTCGTGGGGATTCTGATAAAACTGAAAAATATAATCATTCAACTTCGGTGGAGTTGGAAATTGGTCAAGGGGAACAATCATAGGTTTTAGAACAGTTTACTTCATAACAATCTAGTTTAGAGTTGATGGCAGTAATACTTTGCCCACACCACTAGCAACACCGCAATATTCAATTACTAAGGATAGACCTTGTAGACAAACTGGCTTTGCATTGGGTGTGGCTGACAGTATTGATTTCACTAAGGAGCCTATTGTTGAGAATTCACTTAATCATACACAGTGAAAAATAAAACAGATTTCAATTCCCACCAATGATCTGCATTGTATTTAAATAAAAACTGTGATAGAAAATTATACATTTGATGAATTACTGCAATTGTAATTTGCAATCTAAAGCTATACAATTGTTCGACCTCCAATGGAAATCCACACTTGGAATAAGATTCACAGAAGTAGGGTTTTTCTTTTCTCGTGCTAACAAGAATATAATTGCTTTGTGTTGTTATTCTTCAAACCCTAACAGCATATTAATAAAATTCCAAATGGCCTTGGCCCATCTGTTAAACTCAACCTAATCTAACATTTAATTAATCCAATTAATTAAATTTGGTCCACAAATTAATTAATCCAATTAATTAATTTGGGTTTATTAACAAGCAACCCGATTAATTAATTATCCAACATTTTTTAATTAATTAATTGGCGAATTTCATTCTTCTAGTTCTCATTTTGTGTGTGACACATTAGGTTTCTAATTACAATGTCTAACGACATGAATTATTATTTTGATTTAATTAAAATCGATAAATTAATATACCACTTTTAATTTATCACCAATTCACATATGTCGTCCCAAATTGACATCTACCATTGTGTCAATGTAATACATTTGAAGGGAAATGTCACATGGTATAGCAAAATCAAACTTGTTCGTTTACTGTGAAACTATAATCCATTTGTTAACATGATCTAAAAATTCTCCTTTAAAATATTCTCCCCCTCCATTAGATCTTAGCCAGAGAATACATTTATCTATTTGTTTCTCCACTTCTAACTTGAATTCCTTGAACTTTTCAAATGTTTCATCCTTGAACTTCATCAAGTATATATAACCATATCTAGAATGGTCATCAGTAAATGTAATGAAGTTAGAGAAACCACCTCTGGAGGTGATTGACATGGGTCCATATACATTAATATGTATTATGCTCAATAAATGTGCTGCTCTTTCTCCTTTTCCAATAAAATGGAATTTAGTCATCTTGCCCGACAGGCATATTCGCATTTTTCAAATAATTCAAAATCAGTTGACCCCAAATATACATTTCCATGTAATTTTAAATGTGTTTCTCATGTACATGACCTGGTCTATAATGTCAAAGATATGTATTATTTAGGTTATCATTTTTATGCCATTTTTTAATATTCATAATAGATTACTTAGTATCAAGAATGTAAATGCCATTTTGTAATGTGCCACAACCATATAAGATCCCATTTCGATAAAAGGAACAACAATTATCCTTAACATTAATTGAAACACTATTCATGTCCAAACATGAAATATAAATAATGTTAATGGTAATGGCATGAACAAAATAAAAATCCTCTATTCTGATACTAAACCCGAAGTCAATGGTAAGAAGTATGTTCCTACAGTTAATCAGCAACTCTTGCTCTATTTCTCACATGCAAGTTCACATCTCTTTTCTGCAGTGGACTACCTTTCTTTAGTCCATGCATATTTATACAAATATAAGATCCACATCCGGTATCTAATATCCAAAAAGGTAATGAAGTAGACATATTAACCTCAATTACCAATATCCTGAAGTGGAAGCTTCATAA